GTGGAGCCACGGAGAGGCCCCACGTCAGTGGCTGACGTGGGGCCTAAACGCCAGAAGGGCAGCCTGGAACAGAGAAAAAAAATCACAGGCTTTGGGGTCAGGTTGACCAGCCGCTTGGGAGCCGGGTGACCCTGGGCAAGTCACTCCTCCACGTGGACCACGGAGCGAAGGTCCTGAGCTCTGTTCCAGCTAAGCCCTCCAAAACCATTCCGAGGGAGAAAAGCATTCATTCATTCAACAAATATTTATTGAGCACTTCCTGCGTGTCAGGCGCTGGGGACACAGTAGGACACGAGATAGTCAAAGGTCCCTGCCCTGTGGAGTTCCCACTTCAGTGGGGCGAGCAAGCGATACACAGGATAAATAAGCTGTGTATTATATTTGACAGGCTCAGAGCTCCAGAGAGGAACTCAGCAGGACACAGGGATTGAAACGGGGGGTTGGGGACAGCCCCTCTGAGCAAGTGACCCCTGAGTAACAAGCCGTAGAGGTGAGGGAAGGAGCTGTCAGGGGGAAGAGCATTCCAGGCAGTGGGAACAGCCAGTGCAAAGGCCCTGAGGAAGAGCCCGGTGTGGGGAGCCGAGTGAGTGAGGGAGAGTGGGAGGAGGCGAGGGCAGGGGCAGAGCACACAGGGCCTTGTGGGGCGTTGTAAGGACTTTGGCGTTTTCTCTGCAGGAGGTGGGAGCTATGGAGGGTTCTGAGCAGAGGCAGGACTCGGTCGGACTTGGGTTTTCACAGGATCCCTCTGGCTGTGAGTGGAGAAGGGGCTGTGGAGGCTGGGACGGAAGCAGACAAGACAGCGGGAGGGGACTGCAGCAGTTGGCCCGTGTCAGTGACCCTCTCCGGCCTGCTCTAAAGCCTTCACGTCCCCCCTATGCCCCTGGACAAAGCCCGGACTCCCTGGCATGACATTCAAGGTCCCCATGCCCTCACCCCAGCCCCTCCCTCTCTCCACCCCAGCCCCCTAGATATTCTCTCTCGCTGCTCCGTGAGCTGTCTCTCCCCTGCCCATGCTGTTCCCTCTGCCAGGAACGCCTTCTTGTTTCCCCTCTGTGACCTGGCTCATGTGCGGCTCATTCCACTTGAGCTAGAAGTTAGAAAAGAGAGAGGGAGAGAGGAAGGCCTGTTCAAAGGAGGGGCTGGGGCAGGCCGGGCTTCATCTGCTCCTCCTCAAAGTCACCCCAGGGCCTCTGCCAGCAAGGGCAGGCTCGGGAGGTGGAAGCAGGGCTATAGCCCACACATGCCTGCTGGGTGACCTTGAGCAAGTCACATGCCCTCTCTGGGCCTTGGTTCTGCTCTGTAAAATACGAGCATAATGAGCCTCCTCAGAGGTGGTTCTGACGATGGTGTCTGGATTCCGGGACTGTTGCCACCATGGGAGTGACGGCATCCTGGAGAAGCTGTGGCCGCACATCCTCTTCCAGCCGCGCCAGGCCTGCACAGGACGGGCCTGAGCTGACACCAGGGATCCCTCGGGGGAGGGACACCCTTGGGAGCCCCTCGCGTCTCCAACTTGGTCGCCCTTGCGTTCCCTAAGCACCCACTGTGTGCAGCCCTGGCTCTGTGCCTGGGTTCCAACCCGAGCTCTGCCGCTTGGTCGTGTGCTCGCCGGGCACGTTAACCCCTCGTTTGCTCATCTGTGAAATGGGCAGAATTACAGTATTTACTTCCTGGGGCGGTAGGGGAACCGGAGAGCTGGTGTGAGTGACACTCTCAGCACAGGGCGCAGGCACCGTCCACACTGGCTATCGGATTCTCGCTGGTGCCGTTTCCCAGCTGTCACTCCCTGTGCCTCAGTTTCCTCCCCTGTGAGATGGGGTGACAACACTGCCCTCACACAGCTCCCCTGAGGACTGAGTCCAACATGGGTGAATGGTCCCTGGGGCAGGGGACGCGCTCAGTGACTTTTTGTGAGATTTCAAACACGGAATTTATTTAATTCAACGCCGGCTGTGGCCGCGGGTCTGTGAGCAGTCCGTGTGAAATCCTCCTGTCGGCCCTCGAGTCGGACAAACGCCCATTTGGTCTAATTGAATTTAACAAACTAAATGAGAGGAGGAAGAAAATTCCCAGCCTCCAGAAGCCCACTGCGACCCCCCGGACGACGACGAGAGCTACATGTGCTTCCGGTGAAGGGGGGGGGGCGAGCCGCGGGTCTCAGTGACATCCCAGTGACTGTGACATGCAGCCAGGTGACCCCGGGCAAGTCCCTCCCCTTCTGGAACCCCCCGCCTCTCACCGCCCTGTCTTGCTCACAGGACTGGAGTTTGGCTCAAATCCATCACTGCTCTCACTTAAGCGCCTCCTGTATGCACAGCAACGTGTGTCATCGCCCTCTCCCGGTCCACCCCTCCCTCCCGGGGAAGACTGAGGCTGCCGTTTCTTAGGAGCGGACAGTGAGGCTGGGGAGGTGGCTGGGGACGCGGGCTGCGGGAGGGAAGGAAGTGGGGGGCTGGGGCCGGCCGGACTGACGCAGCTGTGATGTCAGAGTCAGGCCGCAGGCGGTGGCCGGCCGGTGCTACTGGTGTGCTCTCGGCTGGCCTGGCCCAGCGCCTCCCCAGGGGGGCCCGCCGCCCCCCTTAACCCCTTCCCGGCCTCCCTTTCCCAGACAGCCATCCCCCGGGCCTGGCCTTGCCCACAAGATTCCCAGATTTCACAACTGGGGCTGGCGCTGAATCATGTACAGTAAAGTCCGGGGAGAGAAACTGCTGGCTGCCCGCGTCCCAGGACAGGCCAACCGCCAGGCTGCCCGCCCTCCTGACGCGCTGAGCGACTGCCAGGGAGCCAGCCAGCCGCACGCCGGGCGGCTGACCAGCTTGGGGGCATCAGGCAGGACACACCACCTCTCTGGGCTGCACTGGGAATCAGGGGCGGTGTCATCTTTTGGGGACCTTGAAGCTCTGGAGGTCAGGGGGCAGGGCATGGTGGCCTCTGCTGACCGGGAGCAAGTCCCTTCACCTCTCTAAAGCACACTTTCCTCATCTGGAGAATGCGGGTCAGCATGGGACTGACCTCACGGGGCCTCTGCGAGGACTGAGCGAGCCGGTGTGCCAACGGCGCCCAGCACAGCCAGTGCCCGCAACCAGTATTGCCATTGTCACGTCGATGCCACTGACCACACTAAGACCTGGGGAAGTTCTTCAGTCCTTCGGTGACACATCCGTCCCCTGGGATGTCCACCCCTCCCCTCAGCATACAGTTATTCTTATCTTTTAAAGACTTTTTTATTACATCAACAAACAATTATTGAGCACCACTGTGTTCGGGGGCTCTACCTGGTCCTGGAGATGTGACAGCCAACAAAACAGAAACCCCTCTGTTCTCAGGACTCGGGTCCGTGTCCGTGGAGCGGGGAATGTGAGGTCGTTTCAGAGTTATGGGGGCTCCGAGGGGAATACAGCAGAGAGTGTGACCGAGGGAGCCTGGGAGGGCCGCTGAGGAGGCGACATTAGAACAGAGACCTCAACCAAGAGACGACGCCAGCGGGCAGGGTGTGGGGCACCACGGGCGCAGAGGCGGGGCGCGGGGAGCCGGGGCGGGTTCGGGGTCGGCCCGGCCAGCGCGGCGGGGGTGCGGGGCAGGGGGCTCAGGGGGCTCGGGGGGCTCGGAGGGCGGGCACCAGCCCCCAGCCCGCGCCAGCCCCGCACCCCGCTCTGCCCGCCAGCAGCCGGCCTGGACCTGACCTGCACCTGCTCCCGGCGTCGTCGCGGAGGGCCCGGCCCCGAGGCGCCGGTGAGCCCAGGGGCCCGGGTCAGACCCCACGTGGGCCTCCGCCTCCTGCAGGCCCCGGGCTCTGGCGTCTGCAGCTCAGAGCCTCAGTGTCCCCACCTGTGAGGCGGGCACGCGGCTGCCTCGCGGAGGGGTCAGAGCGGGGAGGAGGGGCTCCGGCCCCAGAACCTGTCCCGCGCTGAGCCGACCCTGCAAGAGGAGAAGCATCCAGGCATCCCCGGGGACCAGCTGCGCGTGCACAGCGGGATCAAGAGCCAGGACGCGGTGTGCGCGTGCGCGGGGGCGGGGGTGGGCCTAGATCCCGACCCAGGACCGGGGGCGGAGGGTCGGGGCTTCCAGGGGCAGGGGCGTTGGAGCCCGGTGCTGGGGGCCAATGGGGGCTGACAAGAGGCCAATCAATAGCCCCAGGGGTGTTTTAAACCCCGTTTATTTATTTCTAGCAAAGTCCTGCCCCATTTCCCAGCAGGGCAAGGAGGCCGGGGCGGCTGATGGCGTGGGCGGCTGTGGCTCGACGTGCCCTTTTTGCCCTCAAACCAGGCAGCTGAGGAGGTGAAATGGGGGCGCTGCACAGCGCCTGCGTGAGTGTGAGCAATGACCGCAGCCCGCCCTGTGGACGGGCCAGGCTCTCAGCCCCACTGCGCAGACGGAGAAACTGAGGCCCGAGAGGGGAGGAGCGCGGCCCAGGCGTCCGGCAGGGGAGTGGCAGAGATGCGACTGGAGCCCGGGCGGCTCGCAGGGCCCCGGGTGCGGGGGTCTGGGGGCCGGGACGGCGGTCAAACGCAGATGTTTACGGCATGTTGGGCCCCCACCTCCGGAAAGCAGCGGGCCTGGGGTTGCATCAGAAGCGGGTGCGACCCCTCTCCAGCCTCCGCTCGCTGGGAGTCATGACCCGCGCGGTCACTACGCCCACCTCCCCGCTTTCATCAGGTTCCGGAGCTGCCGGCGGTAATTAACCTTCCCGGCTCCCTCTGAAGTCGGCACTGCGGGCAGACGTGTTATTAAACCCATTTTCAAGGTGGGTAAACTGAGGCAGAGCCCTCCGTGGCCTGGAAGCCTGTCGTACCCCATGACTCAGCAGCTAAATCAGCCTCCGCTTTCTTCCCACAGGAAGCAGAGGGCCGGCCCCCAGATGCCCCGCACCCTGAGGGCAGAGCTGCAGGCGGGGGAGCTGGCAGGTCCTGGACACCCCTCGTTCCTGCCCCCTCACCTCTCAGAAGCACAGGAGCACGGGCTTGGGAGCCAGATGGAAGAGACTGGGATCTGCTTCTGCTGTGTGACCCTGGGCAAGTCCCTGCCCTTCTCTGTGCCTCAGTTTCCTCCTTGGTAAAACAAGGATGATCAGATCCACTTCTTGGGTTTGTCTGGAGCGAAAAGCACCCAGCTTACCTCTGACATATGTCCTCTCCCTCCCCGTGCTCTGGCCATGCCAGCTTCCTTGCTGTTCCTTGAACACACGACCCACTTCCCACCTCAGGGCCTTTGCATGTGAAGTGCCCTCGGCCTGGCGTGTCCTTCCTTCACATCTCCCCAAGGCTGGCTCCTTCTCATCTTTCTTGGCTCACGTATCACCTCCTCAACCTACAGTGCCCCCCTCCCCCTGTTTTATTTTCATGAAGCGCTTGTGAACATAACTCATTATTTACCTGGCCTGTTTCCTTGTCGGCTCCAGGCAGGGGTTTGGGGCTGTTCCATTCACAGTGTATTCCCAGGGCTCCGCTCAGTGTCAGGCACACAGTAGGTGCTCGAGAACAATTGCTTTCCCCACCTCTCTCCTCGTTAGCTCCAAGTTGAGCATGAGCTGGCTGTGTGACCCTGGGAACTGCTTTCCCGGGGGGTGGCCTGGGCACCATCCTCCTGAAGGACTCAGGGAGCCTTGAAATGCCCGGACCTCAGGCTCGTGCCTCCCCAGGCGACAGGGTGGGGAGCAAGCAGGTAGAGGAGGGGTGACCAGAGCCCCCTGGTGCGACCCGCTGTCCTGCGGCTCCGCCTCCTCCCCTGGGGCCCGGGCTTTAAGGACTCACTGTGGGCAGGTCCTCACCGCCAGCCGCCCCCTCCCTTGGCACGTCTGTCAGCGCCCTTGGGGGAAAGAATTTGGAAAGGGGAGGAAGAGAAAGGAAGAAAGCCGCCACGAGGGGATGGTTCTCACACCTGTGTAAATAATTTGTCATCTTAAAACTCGTCAAATATGCTCACCTTTAATGCCTGCTTCTTGGGCTTGTTTTCCTTGGCAAGGCCCCCACGGGAGTGGAATTTCGGCCCAAGGGAGCCCAATTGTCATCTTCTAAGCATGTTCCCGGGCCGCAGGCTGAGGAGGGCTCTGGCTGATGCTCCACTTCCGTCCCCAGAAGTTCCAGAACGTTCCTGGGATTTATGGAGCAGTTGCCAGTTCTGGAAGCTGTCCCAGAGTTCTGGAATGTTGGAATTCAAGCAGCCTCCTGCCCATTTTCCAGAAGGGGAACATGAAGCCCAGAGGGGGGAAGGGGTTGGCCTGAGGTCACACAGCATGCTGGGATGAGTTAGACTTTCCCAGGAAAAGATGGCAAGTTACGGACAGGTCAGTGCCCTGTTACACCTGAATTTTCTACCGGAGAACTTCCTCCTCCCCCATGTCAGTCCCTGAGGTTGGGTGGGGTGTCCCGGGACCCTGTCTCCAGGGGTGGGCACATGCCCAAGTCTGGCCCAGCGACTCGCCTGGGGATGGACACATGCTAAACCCGCCCAAGGAAAGTGGATCCTGGGAACTCTGCGAAGGACATGCAGCGTTTCCGTTGGACTGAGAGAGCCAGTGAAAGCCCGGAGCGTTGGGGGTGTCACAGGGAAAAGCCTGCCTGACAGAGATCAGCACAGGGCTGAACAGGGCTTGAACCCCTGGATCTAGCCATACCTGAAGTCACACACCCTTGGACTTTTCAGTTTCGTGAGCTGCTGCATTTCCCATTTTTGCCTGAAAACAGTTTGGGCTGGTTTTCTGTCACTTGCATACAAAAGGTTCTGACTGACCGTGGGCCTGGAGGAGGGGAAGGGACGAGGGTCTGGGCAGAGGAGGTAACATGCATAGTGACCCCAAAGCAGCAACGGCAAGGGACTTGCAAGTGACGGGGAGAAGAAGGAGGAGGCCCCCCAGGGGAGTTTAGGATGGGTCGGGTGGTCCAGGTGGGAGAAGGGAGTAACTCCAGCAGAAGGAGCGACCAATGCGAAAGCTTGGAGGGGTGACTAGGTAGTGCCGAGGGACGCAGAGACGCAAACGGCAAAAGTGAGTGCCCTCCTCTGAACTGCACCAGCTAAATGTGGGCTCCTCTGCTTTGGGAGCTGCGCCCTCCCAGTGCCGCGCCCGTGTCCCTGCCGTGCCCGCCAGCACGCTGTCTCAGACACGTGAGTGCTCTCCCAGTGGGCGATGGGCGCCCCCGGGGCTGCGTGTCACGGTTTCGCAGGGCGCAGGGACAGAGCACCAGCTGTCGTCCGGGCGCGTGGTGGGTTCTTCCCCTTGCGAATCTGCCACAGTCCTTCCTTTACGCCAAGGACAGTCTCCGCGTGGCGCTGACCTGTGTCTAACACCAAATACCTGCTGATCTTTCTGGAAAGGAGCAGGTCTCGGGCCCCCTGCCTTCGGCACACGGTCGTGTCTAGCAAGACTCTTGGGAGCTTTGTGTGGGGCTGTGCCACACTCCACAGACGCGCTCTGCTTGATGCACCTTGAACGCTAGCCTGACTTCTGTCACCATGGGTCAGTGGCACCTGTTTTTGGACTTTAGATCTGATGTGTTTCCGGAATGTCATGGAAGTGGAGTCCTGCAGGGCATTGCCTTTCTTCACTCAGCATCGCGGTTTTGAGATGTGTTCATTTCGCTGTGTGTTCTCAGCACGTTTTTCAGTAACATTCCTTGTTATCACTGAGCAGCGTTCCAGCGTATGGACGTACCGCAGCCTGCGTACCCGTTCACCACGTGAGGGATATTTGGACTGTTTCCAGTGTTTAGTGATATAATTAAAGCCACTATGAACATTTGCAAACAGGTTGTCACGTGAACATAATTTTTCTTTATCTTGGGGAAAGGCTTAGGGGTCAAACTGCTATGTCATGCGGTCAAGTACATGTTTGACTTACTCAGAAACCGCTAACCTGTGTCTGTACCATTTTGCATTGCCACCAGCAATGGGCGAAAGTTTCAGTTGCTTCTCATCCTCGCCAGCACTTGGTATTGTCAATTTTAAAAAAATTTTAGCCATCTCATAGGTGTATACCGGGATGACGTCGTGATGTTAATTTGCGTTTCCCTGCTGACTAATGATGTTGAGCGTCTTTTTACGGGCTTATTTGCCATCCGTATATGTTCTTTGGTGTAGTAGTGTCTGATCAAACTTTTTGTCCATTTAAAAAATCAGATTGTTTTCTTATTCGTGGCCTGGAGGGTTCTTTCTGTATTCTGGATCCGAGTCCGTCCTTCGTCAGATGTGTGATCTGCGAATATTTCCTCCCAGTCTGCCGCTTGTCCTTTTGCCCCCTTAACGGGGAGACCCTGATAACATCGTTGGTTTTCATCATGAGGATTTTTCTGGTTATCTTTGATTTGCGGCAAGTGTTCTTTGCTTTTTTCAGTTCTAGCGATAATATCAAATGTTTCCCTTCTAAACAAATTTATTTAAATAGAAAGTTAAGTCAACTTGAAGAAAAACATTAAGTAACAGTAGGTCTGGAATGCAAACCGCACAAAAATCGGGAAGGCCGTTGCTTGAATAACCAAAGTGCGGACAGTTCCCATTCGTTCTCTCAACGGTTATCAACCGAGCGCCTGCCCTGTGCTGGGCCCCGTCCTGGGTGCTGGGGCACAGTGACAAACAAGAGGAAGGGTTTCTGCCCTTTGGGTCATGGTTTCCCTACCGCAAGCTCCTCGTCATCCTTCAGAAGCCAACTTGAAAGGCCCTTCCCTGGAAAACTCACGGCACTGTGTTGCAATTTCCTCTCCCTGCGAGCGTCTTCCCGGGAGGGGATGTGTCCGGCAGCCTCTGACCCGGTCACGGAGAGCCTGGTGCACAGGTTCTCAGCAAATAGCGCCTCACGACATAGACGTGGTCGTGGGACCCGAAGCCCCTCCCCACTGCAGTCTGGCCCCATGCAGAGCAAGGTCATTCTCCTGGGCCTCCCCTTCCACTGACAAAGACACCAAGAGAAGACGCCTCCCGGATCCACCACCTTCAGCTCCCCTCCGAGCTCTCCATCCAGTGCCCTCCGAGCTCTCCATCCAGTGCCCGAGGACGCCTTCCCGAGTGACTCATCGATCCCACGAACGCATCCCAGGCATCCCTTCACTCTGGCCCGGCCCGGGGGACCGTGTCACCCCAGCCTCCCACCACCCCTCCTCCAGCACACCAGCCTGCTCCTGTTCCTCCAACACTCTGAGCTCACTCCCACCCCCGGCCTTTGCATATGCTGTCCCTGCTATCTGGAACCCTCTGTCTCTAGCTTTTTGCATGGCTGGATTCTTCTCCACATTCCATTCTGAGCTTAAACGACCCCTCCACAGAGGCCCCCCCCAGGCCAATACTGTCAAACACTCCTTCTACTTTTTATCCCATCATTCCGTTTATCTTCTTTGTAGCCCCAAAGACTCTCATTCCAGTTTATTTCTGTGTTCACTTGTTTCTTGTCTGTGTCCCCCATTTGAGTGTCAGCACCATGAGGGATTCTGGTCTGTCCTCTTGGTCTCCCCAGTGCCTCGCCCAGCACACAGTAGGTCCTCAATAAACATTTGTTGAATGAATGAATGAATGAGGGAGGCCATGAGCTCTCCCTTCTCAAGACGCACTCAAAGCAGAGTTAGGCCGTCAGCCCATGTGTCAGGCTCATTGCCTGAACGGTGGGACCACAGGTCCTCTTCCTGGCCCCCTCTGGCCCCTGTGCCCAGCCCAGTGCTGAGCACTGCCTGCCAAGCCCACCAGCCTTGTGTCCTGCCAGCTGCCCAACCTGGGCCGAGAGGTCCTCCATCCTCGGAGCCAGCCTGCGACAAATTGTTCATGAATGGTGGGCCGTGGTTGGGGCTGGCGGCGGCTGTGTGGGGTATGGGGACCCCGACTGAGACCCCATCAACTCACAGTGTGCAAGAGTCATTTCAGCTCCCTTCCCATCCTCCTGATGGTGCCACAGGGAAGGAAAGGCTGACCGGGGCTTGTGTGTCTTCACCACTTTCCTCCCCCTGTTCTTTCTTTTTAGGAAACAGCAGCCCCAGCGCCAAGCCCCCAGCGGTAGCGGTTTCTGGTTTTGTTTTGCCCCTTTGTGTAATTGGCTGAATGTCTCCAATTTCCAGTGAGCGCCTTGGGTTGGGTTTCCCTGGAAGCAGAACCCTAAGAGAACAATTTGAAAGCAAGCGGTTCATTTGGGAGGCGACCCCAGAAAACACTGGTAGGGGAGTGGGGAAGTGAGCGCAGCCAGCGCAGAGCGTTATGGAGAAGTAAGCGCTCCGGGCTGTGGGACTCAGTCCGCTGTGGGACTCTGGGAGATAGTGTAGACCGTGCCTTCTGAGTCACCCCCCGGGTGGGGCGGGGGTGGCCGGGGAGCAGCGGGAGGTGTCCATGCTCTCCTGCCGGCTTTGATTGAGGGCGGCTCCCTGGAGTGATGCTTCCCAGCACTTCCAGCTGCCACCCAGGGCCGGGGCCTGGGGGCTGAGAGAAGCCGCCTGGTCCTGGACTTCTGTTTCTAGGGGGGTTTCTGATTAGTTTCAATCTGTACTTGTGATTGGTCTATTCAGAGTCTCTGTTTCTTCTTGATTCAGATTTGGGAGGTTGTACGCGTCTAAGAATTTATCCATTTCTCTAGATTATCCAATTTGTTGACATACGGGTTTGCGTAGTCTTCTCTTAGGATCCTTTGCATTTCTGTGGTGTCTGTTGTGATGTCTCCTCTCTCATTTCTGATTTCGTTTGTTTGAGCCGTCCCCTCCCTCTTTTTTTCTTAGAGAGTCTAGCTAAGGGCTTGTCAATTTTGTTTATCTTTTCAAAGAACCAGCTCTTAGTTTCACTGATCCTTTCTATTGTTTTTTGTCTCTATTTTATTTCAGTTCTTATTTTAATTATTTCCTTCCTTCTACTGACTTTGGGCTCTGTTTGTTCTTCTTTTTCTAGCTCTTTTAGGTAAAGTGTTAGATTGTTTATTTGAGATTTTTCTTGTTTTTGAGGTAGGCCCGTATTACTATAAACATCCCTCTTAGTACTGCTTTTGCTGCATCCCATAAGTTTTGATATGTTGTGTTTTCATTTTCATTTGTCTCCAGGTATTTTTTTTATTTCTCCTTTGATTTATTTATTGATCCAATAGTTGTTCAGTAGCATGTTATTTAGTCTCCACTTTCTCAAAAAATTAAAAATAGAAATACCATATGATCCACTATTCCACTTTTGAGTATTTATCCAAAGAACATGAAATCAGTAATTGAAAAGCTCTATCCACCCTGTGTTCATTGCAGCATTATCACAATAGCCAAGACTTGGAAGCAACCCAAGTGCCCATCAACAGATGAATGGATGAAGAAGACATGGTGTGTATGTATATATACTCCTCAGCCATAAGAAAGGACGAAGTCATGCCATTTGTGACAACATGGCTGGACCTTGAGGGTATTATGCTGAGTGAAATAAGACAGAGAAAGACAAACACCGTATGCTCTCACTCATGTGTGGAAGATACACACGTGGACAAGGAGAAGAGATTGGTGGTTACCAGAGGGGAATGGGGTGGGGGGAAGGCAAAAGGGGTGAAGGGGCACATATGTATGGTGATGGATTAAAACTAGGCTATTGGTGGTGAACACCATGCTGTCTACACAGAAGCTGAAATACAATGATGTACATCTGGAATGTGCACAATGTTATCGACCAACGTGACCTCAAGAAAATAATAATGATGATAATAATTAATAATAATGATAGGAGGGCAGGTGCTGACAGGCGGCTGGAATCTGGTCTGTGTTCATGAAAAGTGAGCGGGAGGGGAGAAGGGTGAGGCACTGACAGCAAACGCCTCACCTTTCATACTGGTTTCTCATTTAAAGCAAGAAGAAAATGTTTTCTATAAGTTTAAATAAAACTTTACAACTCAAGTTGACTTAGAGAAAGAGAGCGTGTACACAGTGTACGGGGGAAACATGAAGTGGCAAATGCTGCTATTTTTAAGGGTGTTCAAAGCCCTTAACAGGCAGACAGGGCTCCTTTGTGACCCACCAGGACTGGTGTGTTGGGGGTGGTGGAAAGGCCCCCCGTTCCTCCCAGCTTGCCTTCCCCACACCCAGCCACACTGCCCCGGGTTCCTGGGAGCCTTGGAAATGGGCCATGAAGCTTGAAGCCCTTTGTGGCTCGGGGTCTGTCATTAGCATCTCGAGGCCTGTCTGTTAGCAGTCTCATGAAAGAGGAAATGTGCGAAGAAAATAGCCAAGACAATTCTGAACAGGAAGAGTCAAGAGGGAGGACTTGTCTAGACATTAGAATGTGTGGCAGAGGTACAGAAAATAAAACTGCATGGTGTTGGCACAGAAGTGGGCAAACACATCAAGGGAATAGGAGAGAGAGCCCAGCACTGACCCAGACGTCACCTGTCCTGCCCAACGGAGGTGAACGGACTTGAAAAGGGGAGGCGTCAGTTAATGTGGAATTCTCTGGATTCTGTCTGGGCTGGGGCAGTGGCTGCCCGACAGGCTCCCCGTCTTTTGGGCCCTTCCCGCTGACACACCTGCAAAGGCTCTAGGGAGACTAACCCTCAAGGACCACACCGACCCCATGTCCACCCAGGAAATCTCCAACACAAGATGAGTTGGCTAACAGGTGACACCCGGGAGGATGTCACCTGTGGTTCTTTGATTGTTCTGAGCACCTGGGAAAAGCCCCACTTGGGTGCTGGCAGGCCTTGACATCCCCCAGAACTTGCTCACCTCCTGTTACAAGGCGGAGCGGGCCTCGGTCCGGAGCCCTGAGCAGGCCTCGGAGTCCAGCTGGAATTAACACCATCGCTGTGAGCAACATTCTGGTTACTTCCCACCGGTAGGAATGAATAACTTACTTTCTCTTTCTGGTAGTAATACAAATTTCCCTTTAGAAATAGTCCTACTGACACGCTACGATAAGGGGGAACCTCCAGGACATTATGCTAAGTGACAGAATTCAGACACAGAAGGTCACCTATTGTGTGACTCCGTTTCTCTGAAATGTCCAGAATAGCTAAATCCGTGGAGACGGAAAGCAGGCTGGTGGTCGCCAGGGCGTGGGGTTGGGGGATGGAGAGCCGGGAGCAGTGCATGATGGGTACGGGGCTCTTTTTGGGGAGATAAAAACGTTTTGCAACCAGTTAGATGTGGTGGTTGCACAACACTGTGAATGTACCAAGTGCCACTGAGTTGTCCTCCTTGAAATGTTAATTTGACGTTATGTGAATTGCACCTCAGTAAATTATTTTTAAAAACCAACCAAGCGAAAAAACCCAAAATCAACTTACTTAATAAAAAGGACGAATGGCTGTAAAGATGACTTTTAAGCGAGGTCTGGGAGACGCCGGCTGAGAGGGCCGTCTCACCTGCAGGCCTCGCCCGGGCCCGGACCGTCCTCTGCTCACCCGTGGAATCCTGCCCATCGCTGGGCACCTGGGCCAAGACTCGCCCCTGCAGGGAGCCCTCTCTGATTGCACAGGCCCATCTGTGCCTGACCAGAGCGGTCAGGCGGTCCCGGCCCTGCAGCCCTTCAGACCTGGGTGTGAAACCCGGCCCAGTTGTTTCCCAGTGGGAGGGGTCTCATAATTTTGCACACGTTGCCCATCCTCCCCTGGAGGGCCTCAGCCTCCTCACCTGTGCGGTGCGGTTCCTGAGAGTCCTGATGTCATGGGGTTGCGTTGCTACATAGGAGTCTGCGGGCCGGCCCTGTAATTGCATTTATTTGCCTTCTGTTTCTTGGACTATAAGCAAGGGCCTGGCCTTTGTAGTCTCAGTATCCACAGCTCCTCCCAGGCTCACACACAGTAGGCCTCCGAGAAGGCCCTGTTGACTGATGCACACAGAAGTTCCCAGAATCCCCCTCTTCTCTCCACACCCACTGCCCCCACCCGTCCAGCCCCTTCGTCGCTCTCCTGGGCTGCTGCAGTTGCCTCCTCCCCGGTGTCCTGGCTTCTGTTCTGGCCCCTCAGTTCCCTACACACGGTCAGAGGGGTCCCATTGGAACCTAAGTCAGATCCCATCCTCACCCTGCTCAGAAGCTTCCCAGGGCCAAAGTCCTCCCTCTGGTCCACGAGGCCCTGTGTGACCTGCCTCCCCTGCCCCGTCACCTCTCTGCCCTCATCTCCCCCACTGTCCCCCTCTTGGCTGCAACCGTGACACTCTCCTGCTGTTGCTCTGAAACTCCAGGCCTCCACCTCAGAGCCTTTGCACCTGCTCTTCCCTTGCCGAGGACACTTCCCCAGATGTCACCCCCTGCTCGCTTCCTCACCTCCTTCGGGCCTTGGTTCAAGTGTGCCCTGTTCAGGAAGGCTTTCCCTGGCTTCCCAGGTCTCGTTGGATTCACAGCTCTTGTCTTCCCCCAGGAAAGGCCCTTGGCTAGGGTTCTGGGCCCCCGATGTGTTTCAGGCAGAGGAGAGGCTCTCCGTGTCTCTCGGGACTGGGGGCCCGGGGTTGGCCGTGGAGGCAGGCAGCGCCTGAGCTGTCCCGGGTGCAGAGGCTTCTCCACTGTGGGAGGCGGCCCAGCCTGCTCAGCGGCCCTGGGGTGCAGGTGGGAAAGCCCCGCATGCTCCTCCAGTTACCTGACTCGCTGACTCAGGCCCTCACCCCTGGCCGGAGGGAGCCGCAGCCCCGCCCGCCCTGATGGGAAGCGGCTAGGGCCTGGCCCGGCCAAACACTGACTCACCTCCCCGCCCAGCCTCTGCCCCTGGAAGGCACAGCTCCCTCTGGCCAGGGACGCCCCAGCCCGTCGCTCCCAGGGGAGCCTTCCTCTGGGAAAAGCTTTCCTGGCTGCGCCTTTGCCCAAGCTGGGTACGGGCCGGCACTGCCTTCTGCCTGGGAGCCCTTCTGTTCCTTCAAGGCCCGGCCCAAAGGCCATCTCCTGCCGGGAAACACGAGCGATCCCTCTGCGAGAGGGTGGAGGGGTAGCGGGAGGGGGAATCACAATGACAACAGCCACGATGACTCTCGATAATAATAGTGACTCGCTGTGTTTGCCGTGTGCCGGTGCCACGCCAGAGGCATCTTGTGTTAGCGCACTCAGTCCTCACGGTAACCCTAGGACGTGGGGACTCCATTCTCCCGAGGCGCAGAGAGGCTAGTGACTAATGCGAGAAGAGGGGTTTGAACCCACTCTGGATGTCAAGCCGCCAATTTTACCCCCCAGACTGGAGAACCCAGTGGAGGCCCCTGAGGCTGGCGTCCAGGGAGCAGGGCAGAGAGGTGGTCAGAGCCCTGGGTCTGTCTCCGGGTCCTGCCCCTTTCCTGAGAGGGACGCAGGTCTCCTTGGGGGAGGGCCTGTCACCAGCACAGGCTGCTCGGGTCCCTCCTTCCAGGGGAATCCCAGAGCCCAGTGTCGGGGCAATACAGAGCAGGGACCATGGCCTGGATGCTTAACCCGTTAACCTCCCAGCAGCCCTGTGAAGTGGGGACAGTGACCAGCATGCACTTCACAGAGGGGCACACTAAGGCCCAGAGTAATAGGATTGCTCAAAGTCACAGAGCTAGGATGTGGCAGCGGCTGAACTCAAACCCAGGACTGTTCTGACACTGAGGCCAGCGTCCCCTCTACTGGGTGGTGACATAGCATCTCAGTGAAGAACAGGGCAGGACCCAGGTGAGTGAAAGAGACGAGGGCTTCTGTTCCCAAGGTCCTCTCCCTCCAGCATTCCACTAACCTCCACCCACCCATTCCCTCATCTGTCCATCCATCCCCCACCCACCCATCCTTCCGTTTGCTTATCCATCCATCCACCCACCTCCCCACTCACCCACTGTCCGTCCTTCCATTGCTCTCCCTGTCCCCTCATCTACCCCATCCATCCATCCACCTATCCGTCTATGCACCTGCCCAGCCATTTTTCTATCCCTTTCACTTTCTATCTTTTCATCCTCCCTTTCATCTCCATATCCATCAGTTTGAACACCATCTATCCATCCATCCGCTCATACATTCATCCATGCATCCATCCACCCACCCATTCGTCCACGCATCCGTCTATGCATCTACATGTCCATTCGTCCACGCATCCGTCTGTCCATCTACACGTCCATTCACCCATACATCCCACAAACGTTTATTTCACTGATGGCTGCCGTGCTTGAGCCTTCAGATGTCTGTGCCTTGAGCCAGGAGAAACACTCCTAATTAGGTTTCTGCTTATTTGTTGTTCCAGGAAGGCTAATTGTGGGGTTTGTAAACAGCCCTTTGATGGCTGGGGAGTTACTTAAGAGGACAGTTAAATAAACAACCGCTGGGTGGAAACAGTCAGTGCTGGTGCACAGCGGGTCCCGAGTCATGACCTGCCTTGTGTGGCAGGAGGAGGGCTGAGTTCCAGACAGCGCGGAGGCTCTGGGGTCAGAAAGGAAGTCAGAATAAGAGGAACAGTGCCAACAACAGCTACCATGTGCTGAAGGCCTACTGTGTGTCAGCTGCTGTGCTAGGCACAGCGCTTGCAGCAACTCCAGCGATGGGAACCATTATGATCCCATCTACAGATGGAGAGATTGCAGCTCCGGGCGGGGAAGCCATGCGCTCCAGGCCCCACAGCTGGGACATGGCACAGCCACGACCCCAATCTGTCTGTGTGCAGCAATGATGAAAACAACAGCAAATAATCCTGCAGCCCTCCCATGTGCCAGGCCCTGTTGTAAGAGTCTTCTTTATTGGTCTTTACTCAGTAAATGCTCACACAACCCTATGAGGTTGGTACTATCATCGCTCCCATTTCACAGATGAGAAAATTGAGCTCGAGAGGCATAAAGTAACTGAGTAACAAAGACGGAGCAGCAGAATTATTTTTTATAAATTTCTGGACCCAAAGATCTACTCTCAACCATGTTACACAGTGAAACACACCTATGAATTTAACTTAGAAAGATCCAGCCATACATGGTTGGCTAAACGTTTTTTTTTGTTTTTTGCCGAGGAAGATTCACTCTGAGCTAACATCTGTGCCAATATTCCTCTATTTTGTATGTGCGTTGCCACTACAGCATGGCTGACAAGTGGTGTAGGTCTGCCCCTGGGATCCGAACCCATAAACCCAGGCTGCTGAAGCAGAGCATGCCAAACTTAACCACGTCACTGGGGCAGCCCCCTCAAACTTTTTTTTTAAATCATATTTTTCATCTCTCTATTTTATGTATCTAAAAATACTGTGAAATTATTTATAATAATTTAACTTTAAATTATATCTTTTTTATTACTTAGTTCAGCGGTCGGTGAACTTTTTCTGTAAAGGTACCAGATAATAAATGTTTTAGGCTTTGTGGGCCATGTGGTCTCTGTTGCAACTACTTGGCCCAGCTGTGGTAGCTGGAAAGTAGCCACAGACAATATGAAATTAACGGAGGTGGCTGTGTGCCAATAAAACTTTATTTACAAAATCAGGTGAAGGGCCCGATTTGGCCCAAGGGCTACAGTTAGCTGACCCCTGAGTTTGCGCATTATATTTGTATTTGTATGCACCAAAACGTGTTCTCACGCCCTTTTATGAGCCCTAAAGGATTTTCACAGATAACTGCAACCATCACTGGGTTTCACCCCCAGGCCCTTTGCTCACCACATGCCCACGCACATTTCCCCATTTGTCCGCTATTGGCAACTTCTGAAGGAATTTGCAAATTCCTGGAATTAATCGAATTCCTTTATTCACAAGGTCAGTAAATGAAGGACACCTGTGAGGGTGCTCAGCCCAAGTGACTCCTACCAGGGACGCTGAGAGTGCCGAGGGCCCTGGAAAGGACTCTTCTCCACACTGAGTTCTGTAAACTTGCTCGAAAAAAACATCATAAAGTGAAAGTTAAGTCCTATGGCTGGGGCTCTCCTACTATTTCCTATTGGTGACAAGAACAAGGAAATGAAAGGATGACCAGTACAGAGATTACAAAATGTCCTCAGGGCTGGTGGGAACAAAACGGGGTAAGGTCAGAAAGATCCCCTTTCCTCTTTCTCCCCACCCCTTCCCCTCAGTGTCCGTTCCCAGCCTCAGAAAAGTTGTGAGCTTGGGGAACAGCATGTGGTCACCCCAAAAGGCACAACTGACAACCTGGGAAAAATACTTGCAACCTAAATGTAGACAGATGATTTATTTCCATAATATATAACAAACCCCTGCAAAATAATAATAAGAAAAACCCCAAACCACTAGAATAATGGGGTGGTGGATGGGAACAGACAATTTATAGAAAATGAAATACAGATGGCAAAGACACACGCAAGACGATCGACCTCGCTGTTGATCAGGCAGATGCAAGTTAAAAAAAGCGATTCGATGACACTTTCTACTCCTCAGGTTGACAAAAAGAGGATCGATAATGGAGAGTGCGAAGGAGACGGTGGGAAAATGGCCACACTGAGACCGCTGGTGGGAGTGTAAGCTGGGACGGCCTCTCAGGAAGACAGTGTTACAGGGTCCAGTAAAGCTGCAAATTCCTGTTTTATAGAGCTGAGCAGTTCCATTATTTGGCGTCTTTCTTGGGGAAACATCCCCCCACGGGTGCAAGGAGTGTGTTCCAAGAGGCCACTGGAAGCAATGAATAGCCGTCGACTGGGGGAGGGCTAAATGCCTCGCAGTGTCTGGGGACTCCCCATCTTCTGAGGCAGAGCCTGCCCTCCTCCACCATTGACCTCGCACCTGCTGGATGCTCTCTCTTCCCAGCCTCCCTTGCAGAGAGGCAGCGGTCACATGACCCAGGCTCCACCAATCGGACATGCCCACCCAGACTGGGATGCAGAGACCGTCCAGCGGCGGCACAGATGTCTCAGCTGACCCAGTTCTGTCACATGATTTGGGGCCTTGTCCCTGTTGACCTTGAAACCTGGCTGTCCAACCCTCCCAGGCTCCCCCAATGACTCCCTATTGTAATTTGAACTTTTTGCCGACGTGTAACACACGCACAGAAAAATGCACAGGCTGCACGTGATAACTTGGCGAATCTTGGTAAGTGAGCACACCTGTGTAGCCAGCCCCACATCAAGGAACAGAACATTCCAGTCCCCCGGGAGCTCCCCTCGTGCCCTCTTGTAGTCACGACTTGCCCGAGGGTCACCGAGGGTAGTGTGTCTGTTTCAGCACTTTACACGAATGGAACCAGATGGCGTGTGTGTGTGTCTGACCCCTTTCTCTCTGAAGCGTCTGCACCATTTGGCATTCACCCCGGTCTAGTAAGAGAGCTCCACGTGGGCGCTCCACGGCTCCTCAGCTCTCGCTGTTTTCCACCATTTTCACTTGAGCCGTCCTGGTGTGTGTACAGCCGTATCCCGTTGGGGTTTGCGTTCGCATTTCCCTGAGGATCAGCGACGTTAAGCCCCTTTGCGTGCTCGTGGGTTGTCTGGAATCTCCTTCTGTAAATCGCCTGCTCACGTTGTCTCCCTTTTTGTCTCTTGGATTGATCATCCTTTCCCCCCAAAGTCCTGTTAGGAGATTGCCTCTCTGTTTAAGTTACTGCATCGGCCAGGGTTCTCCAGAGGAGCAAAATCGGTGGGTTGAGCGTGTCCAGGGCGGGGGGCCTCCGAGCTGCCCGCAGGGCTTTATTCGCACTGCTCCCCAGCATCCCCTTA